AAGGGGAAATGACAGAACAGATGATTATAATGAAGATTATGTGGATATGGACGCAAACGCCATTAAACTTAATTACAAGTAATTCAACGGTATCGCGAAACTGATCGCATAATTTACTAAAACCTTTGAGCTTGCTTTAAGCTGTACACCAAACCATAAAATATCATGTAACAATAAAGATACGTAAAACATATTATTATTGTCACTATAATAAAAATTGTTATTTTCTGTCTAAGGCTAAAATACTATCAACACAATCTCTGGCCCACAGTGTACAACAAGAACCTCATACTTGGAACTTTTGAAGACCTTGAGGTAAAAAATTGAAACCATAAAAAATCTTTAAAGAAGAATTCCTTGAGAACACAGGAAAAGCTATTCAACGTCTTGCTAAACTGCCTTGGGGAATTAGCCGGCAACTATTTGCGAACCGAGATGGAATGTGTTAAATACGGATGTAAAGATAGGCAAACTGACTGTAAGGACAGACGCTACCTGTTTGTTCCGATACACATAATACATAGTTGAAAAGACAGCCAAAATGCAACTTGGACATTCACTAGTTACGAGTATAAGTAGGAAATCCAACACAATCTGTGTGCAGATAAATCCAAAGATAATCTAGAATTGTACGCAACAAAACTAGGCTTCAAGACACACTGATCCAGTTACTTTTGCCGTAAAACATTGCAACCCTCTGCGGAATACAAATTGTTAGTGAACAACGATCGATATCACCAAAGGAGATAAGGTTGTCTGAAGGTCGAATATAAAGTTTCAGCTCCACGATACCGGAGGACCCTAAAAGATTTTATAGTGGAATGTAATATCAGCACTTGAACATAATCAGACTGTAAGATGACAATAGTAAACAAAAAAGCAGATGAAAAAAAAAGACGCAGTCTTCCATTCTGGTTTGAAGAGAAATAAATAATTGACAGTATTGCAATATTGTGTGAATTATGGCATGGTGCGGTGCACATACATTGGTCTAGCGTTTATAAACTTAGTTAGCTAGGTAGCCGGCAACCCGTGTGATGTTTTATACTGAAGTTAAATTCAACTCCGCGGTTAGACCTTGTTCACAAATATTTGGTAAACTCTGTAAATAAACTCTAATTGCGCATTTATTATCGTTCTCTTTGACGATTTGTACAGTTTCTACGTAGTAGCAAGCGTTTCAATTATCTACTTGATTCTCCAATCAAGTACGGCACTGATCATTTGCCGCCAATTGTTTCTCATTAGGGTCGTGTTACCAAGTAGCGTGCACGAGATCTTCACATATTGCCGACCAAGATTAAAGTGCACCATTTTAAGAAAGGCGCAGTGATATTATGTCATTTCGACTGCCGTGAAAGTGCCAAACTTTCTCTCAAGGTTAACTTGTTTTACTACACCAGTAGTAAAAGCAATTTGTGATTACATCACCAAAACGGTAAAAAACTGAACGTTAATATTTAAATTACCCATGTTTGTTAGTATAGGAAGTAAAATACTAATGTGGTTTAAACACATTTAGATACTCGGAAGTTCTTCACGACTCTTGATACTTGAATTATGACCAACATTAAGAGGCTGACGTCATGTCGCACGAGTGAATGAAAAATATCATTATCACACCTCTGATAATATAATACCATCATGGTTTTCTTGTTCATACAATCTTAAGGAACTTATTTCTTTGAAGTTTACGTCATTACACTCGATTTCAGTAGTTTGGCAAGCAGCCCAGACTTCGGAGTACGAATTCAAAACAAAACTATATAGCATCTGTCAATTTTCTTCCACATTCGTTTCTATTGAATTAGTGTGAGGTGAGAGTGAGCCAATCATAACACAGTGTTTGTCTGTGTGAACGATAGACTATCTCTAACAAAAATATCAGTACGCTTGTACCTATGTTTTGATGCAACAGTGAAGTCACTCGCCAATTTGGCATCATTTCGAAACTAAGAGAGTCACACACAGCGATAGCTGGTTCTACAACGGGTTTTTAAGTTTTTTTTTGTTTCCATTTCCGTGTTTTTGACTCATGTTATTTGACGTGGTTAAATTAAACATTAGCTTAATCATTTGTATGAGGTTTTATGTGTCATTTTATTTAACCCAACAAAAGATCTAGTTTAACTACACACTCAAAGTAAATATTAAATATCTAGAAAAGTCTAGAAATGACGCTGAGTAAAAATCGACCTATGTAAACTGCAATGCGTAGGAAACGCTCTCCTATTTTTAACTCGACATAACTCATGAAACATCTTCAAAGAAGCATTCATAACATTCGCTTCAACTAGTGTCAGTGAGCACTTGTGACGTTTTCCACACTGATTAATCTCTGCATACAAGCTGTGTTGAACTGTCATAGTTTAATAACCTCAACCACGTCAACGGCTTTGCAGAAATAATGTAGCCAATAAATCACATGTCCTCAAATACAGCCTTCAATTAAAATTGGCACTTTACTTCATATTAGCATACTATTAAGTAAAATATACGATAGATCTGTTTCCTGTGACCTGCCTCTTATTAATTGCCATCCTGTATTTGTGATTCGTATCTTCGTAAAATATTTGATAATTAAATCTAAGAGACATAATTAATGACTGGTTTCTTTGTTATGCTAAATTCCCAAGATAAAAAAAACACGTTCATTATCTATGTAATAATATGTATTTTGGAAGTCTATGTCCTTCAAGCAAGATACGCTACATGAGTCGGCACTGTTGACATCTTCTTTTTAAAGCACAAATCGTTCGATGTGCAGGGGATGACGTCATTGGTTCAAACTACCTGTACTTGCATTATTATAAGTCATATCGACATCCTTAAAGCATAAAATATTATCTTATCACTAGAAAGGCTCACCTGGATGTAGGATTCTACTTATCATTGACAATTTCACGGAACTCGAGTTGCTATAAGGTATAGCTATGTGGTAAGACTGCATTCCTTAAGAACTTTGAAGTTTTGTAGCCATTTTAATGTCTGCCTGTCTAGACTTGGATGTCGAAGGCAAAGCAATTTTCTTTAGCTGATTATGTACGAGCTTTTACACAGAAAATGGAACTCGAAATAAATTGCAATGTTTCTTTTACTAGGTATTTTGTTCCTGTGTTAAAAATGCACTAGTATCATGGAGTAAATATTTGTATTTGCGTCTAGCATCATTTAAATCGTTTCACGAAATTAGCCAACAATAGAATTTTGGATATGGAAATTGTATTATGTAATACACTATTACGTAACTTAAACCCGGTTGGTGGTATTATATTAGATAGAACATTCTACAATATTCTACATCATTAGTTGCATTAATAGTTTATAAATTACAATATTACAACCAATCTAATTGTTTTAGAAGATTCGACTGCATTTATGTGTCTTGTATAAATTACTGATATCTGCATTTGGACACTTATTTGGACTTCAATAACACATTTTTAAGAACTAGCCGACCCGGTCTTCGTCCCGCCTAAATATGTTTTCTCTCACCTTTTTAACCTTCCCTGGACATTCCACGAACATTTCAAGACCAAAATTAACCAAATCGGTTCAGCTGTTCTCGAGTTTTAGCAATACTATCGAACGGAAATTAATTTTTATTTATATAGACAGATAAAAGCTTTTATTTGATAATCTGAAGTGTTTGACGTGAGTGGTGACGAAAAAGAACTATCTACTAGCTGTTCTCAAAGAATGTCAACGTACGTTAGAACTTTCAGCGTGGAAAGTGTTTACAGAACACATTATGTCTCGTAGACAAACAGACAACATTATGATGTTGGTATATAGGTTACACAAATATTTGTTCCAGAACAAATCGCACAACCGCCGGCACGCAGTCTAGTCTACTATGACATCGATTATTTTAACGTAATTTATTATCCCCTTGGGAAGAACTCCATGAAAGTGGGTCTCGAACTATTTTATTATCCACTTAGATGTAACATTAATTCTGGCTGACTTTCCAATATCAAACACAACAAAGGAAACATCGTGACTACGTAACCAGTCGACTCGTGGCTTGTAGCTATGAAATTAATTGATAGCAACAAAGTAGCGCCAATTGTTTCCATTCGAGCACAAGATAGATACCCTAACCAATAACCAAGGTGAACTTTAACTTTGATAAATGTATAGCAACCAGTGTTCAATATCTGGATTTAATAACAATTCCTACTACCCTACGCCATTAAAAAGACGTCAATATTCATACGTAAGTAGACTCTGTTCTCTGCTCACGCCATATTGCTCTGATTCACCCTGTTAGCTTCATCTAATTGGTATTTACAAGTCGCAAGGATAACACTATCACACAGTGGCAAATGGTCACTGTCGGTGAGTCAATGTTGACTCTTTATGCCACATTTTGTGTAAATATACATTTTTAGTTGCATCCTTATTGTGACTGTTTATGTAAACAATAAAACAAGAGTGGGATAAAGAAAGGAATAACATCATAAAGGAAATTATTAATACGTAGGTACGTAAATACGATAAACTTTAGCCTGCCAACTGCATTAAATTAAAACTGTCTCCTATTAAAGGCAATCGATGCAGCTTTCATTTAACTGAACGTAGCTATTGTTGGACACAGGTCAAGTTCCGCGTGAAAACTAGGACTTGTGTGACGTCATTATTGCATGCACCTGCTAAATATAGCACCGAGAGCACAAAGTAACTTCACCCGGTGACCCAGATAAGTGTTACTCACAGTGCCCTTGGGGTTGTAAAAGGTTTTTAATATAAACGGTAAATTGAACAGCAATATCCACATACCATTATGTGCTAAATAGGACAGCATAGGACATCAAGCGTCTAGACGTGAAGATAATTAAATTAGGTATTAATCAGGGCTTACGTAAATGTTTCAGTAAGCAATGTTTTCCTCCCGTAACCGCAAATTATAAACCATCTTTGTAAACCATTTGTTCTGCTGACTATGACGTGGGCAGTTTATCTGGTGATGCTACCATTTAAGTTATTATTGTACTTACCATTGCTGTACTAGGGATGGGTTTTGCTGTTCCATTGTAAGCGCAGTTCGTCGGTCTGAGTGGGTCACTTGAACAAACGCCATACCAAATACAGTGGGCTTCTGCAGAGGCTGTGGGTACCTGAAGCAAAAACATTCTCTAATTAGTAACAAGGTAATAAAATCACAAATTAAATTATTTCGTAAAATATTCAACGTTGCTATTTTTTTAATCCTAAAAATTACGCAAGACGTTTTTATAAAACTGAACCGATTAACTTTTTTATAGCCTTAATACGCACGGCTATGACGTGACGTGATACAAAGATGATGTTTTTAAACATGACACCAACAAACAAATATGACGGAAAAGTTGTAATTGCGGTCTGGAATAGGATGCCAACAGAACTAGGCTTCAAGTTATCGTCCAGTATTTGCCTGAATCACGTTGAACTCAGGTGACACGCCAATGACGCACGTACCATGTCCCAGAAGAACGTGCTTGTAATAAGATTATAATAGAATTATGTAGCCAACAACTATTGAAAGAAGTTTGGTATACACCTACAAATTGTTGAATAATATAACATTTCCAAAACAAGAAACAGGCCCAGGCGATGAATCATTATGAAACAATGCTCTTATGATCCGAGCGTGTGTACTCTATGGAGCGATAGCTTTACGCGTGCCAACAAAAAATCGCGTGCTAAGCAAATTGAATGAACGGAAACGTATTGAACTAATCAATTATTAACTGCAAGGTTGGAAAACATGCGAACTTTGCTTAATACTCTCTTATAGGACACGTGGACTACACACATGCTAATTACAGCACTATTTTCTATTGTCTCCGCTTACTTCACACGTAGTGAATCATCTGATTCTTGTTACAATAATAATTTATTTTGATATGTTATTAATTTTATTAAGGGACAAAGTTCACTAACATTATAAGTAAGAGATAAGCTTACAAATAAATACTCTCCATAGCGAAATGAAAATATGTTGGTACAGATCGATCTGAATTACAATAATACAGTTTCCATGTTTTTGGAACATGAGCCACGTAGATTCTAATACAAGACTAGAGATAGATTGCTGTAGTTTGCAATAATACAACATGAGTCCAAATAACAGTAACATGACAAGTAAAAACAGGTGTTGTCGATTTACGTGGAAGTGGCATTGAAATCCAACGTGATAGAGCCATTTTGTGGTCGACACCGCATGGGACATGGTCATCAATGTCAGACAAGATAAAAAATGAGAGGTTTTACAACCATTGGAAGTATTCATCACTTTCATGTGGGTACGGAATGGCAAATGAAATGGTCAACTAAAGGTAAGTTTGCCATAACATAGTTATGTTGCCAGCCTTCGCAAAGGAATTTAGCTTTGAAGCACGTCGCTATAAATAAACTTGTAAATGATCTTCTGGAACCGCGTCATGCGTTCGCGATAAACTAACCAAAGCATTGTTTATGATCTAGCATACACTGGAAACTGAGGATCCTAGAGTTTATTAATCACTATCGCAATTGATATTAACCTGGGAGTTATGGAATCATTACAAACTGAGTTGTCTGCAACATCAACGGCGCAAATTGACTTAAGTCTGGACCATAAATCCATACGGTTAAAAAATGGATAATATGCGAACATGACGTCCATTTCTCGGACATGCAAACGTCGATATATTGAACACCGATACATTTGTAATTCAATCGAATAGAACGGATGCCGGTGACGTTAGAATATCATTCAAAAGGACAGCCATGTGGGCCACGGGAATAGTAAAGAGCTGGTCCGTTAGAAATTACAATGATATTGACAATATTAATGTTACTCAGAAACGAGAATAGAGGACAAAACAAAAATAAGGTGTTTGGTAATTTTAATGTGGTTGGTATTATCACAACTGGATATAACTCTTAACTATTTAGATGTGAGTCAGAAAAAACTATTAATTAAAATTGTTATCATGATTTAAATAACTGTTTGCGGTTTGGAATAAATACGTTATGGGAGATGGTAGAGACCAGGAAATGTGCTAAACTTCACTACACCATGTCAAAGGCAAAGCGGATAACATAAAACAACTAACTAACTACTCTAACTACAGACTCAGGCAAGCCAGATATCTTTGCTAATACGTTGACAAGATTGAAACATCTGAAATTAACCCTAAGTATCATCTGTGTTTATTATTGATTGCCCATTTTTTACATAAAAAACATACAACCCGAAATGAAAACCTCCTCTTTTTTGATGTCAGTAAAAAGTGGGAGTACCTTAGGACGAACCCGACAAACAGCGGTGATAATTAAATCAATGACGTCAGTCTCTTACATCAATTTATGATTCAGATTGTATGAATTCAATAAATAAAACAATCCGTCATTATTTAAACATACGGTTTTAAGATTTTTAGGTCGCAACCATGCATATAACATTGACTTAGAATTCAAAATCCCGACATTAATATTAAACACATAGATGACTTTACAATTGTTTCACAAATTTTGACCTGATATCATGTTTTTCCTCTGCCAACTGAATAACGGTATAATGAAAACATACTGAATTATTTACATGCGTTTTGACGTAGGATTTTCTCAATTCAACAACAAAATTATTAAATTGGTCAAAATTAATACATATCATAAAATTACATCAGATCACAAATAGCTTGCCATTTTGAAATTGTGTTCCGATATGACCCGAATGTATAAATGTTTGGTTCTTTCATAATAATTTTCGCTTGATGCTAAATCTTCCCTGATAGCTAAAAGGAATTTGTTTGTGCTGTAATTCGAAAAGTAAATAGACGATCATTGAACGGCAAGGATCTCTCCTCTCAATTAGTCGTTAACAAAAGCAAATAGGTATTTGGTTCTCTATTCAGATAAAATTCAAAGAAGTTGGTTCTTTGACCCTTAGGTATTACCCTGAACACTGTGCGTTCTCAAATTCAGTTCTTTCACCTTTGAAATTATTGAAAGATTCAAACTTTTTACAGGGAAAGGTTCAAAGGCCTCAGCTCTGTAATTTTAGTATAATGTAGACGCCCACAGTTATAACTCCTTTGAATGTAAAATGTACTTAGACAATCACATTATGTTTACACAAAGGAGCTACATAATAATGCCTCGTACTACTTAATCTTACATTGAAACGTCTTACTGCATATCATATTATGTGTAATGAAATCACGCTATATTCAGCAACTACAATCCCCCAACAACGGCTGTTGTTGTTGTTATTGATAACATCAAAACAAAACATAGATATTATATATGTACACGCAATGAACTTGCTATTTAGCAGTTCGCTGGGTGCTAAACGATAAAACATTACGATTTTAATGTGGTTAATGTATGCGCTAAGAACATTCAAGGCGAAACAAGGTAACTGAGCAAAGATCAGTTTACATCCATCAGCAAAAACTAGTTGGCAAATTACGGGTCATTTTGTGAGACTGGTTGTGTTTGTAACTTTTGAAAAGAATAGGTTTTTTATAAACTTCAGTTAAAAATTGCTTATTTTACTATGTCTGCGAATCGATGTTAAGCTTAGCTTCCACCTGTAGCGAAGCCTGATAGGGCACATCTCTCAGAGGTTTATCGATCCTAAACCTCCGCCTCGCTTGTGGCTTGAGTCGTTGACTCATTAAAGTCTCGCGCTTATAATGGCTTCTGGGCTGTTCTGGGCGATCGATATCTATTACTTAATTAACAGCATAATAGGCGACATTGATTTCAGTACTTCAGCCCACAATGTTAGAAAACATTATGTGCAAACAAAGGTTATTGTTAATATTTTGAAACATAAGAATGCAATTAATGCAATGTTAATAGGTATAACCGATTCGTTCCACACTCATGAGCTCAACAACCTTTGAACTGTCATTAAACGAAACAACTCAATAAGTAACTATGTAAATCAAAGTGTGAAGTGATGTGATCCAAGCGTGAGTCAGCATCCGTGACAATCTGTGGGATTGTCTGACTCAAATACGGATAATCGGCACAGTTTACTTCCTACCGATGCTGCCTGTTATCTACACTCATCTGTTTTATAAGAGCCGATTTTTCAATCATCAGTTAATTCTTAGTTGTAGAATGAAATTGATATTTGACAGTTATTCGTATGGAAAACTTGACAAATATTCAAAGTCATTATTCTGATAAAATTGAACTGAGCATAACTGAGATAACTGAGCATGTTAATATTTTGTATCGTATTTGGAATTTCATTAATTTTATGTTTTACTTCTGGGGATAGAATAAAACCCAAACCGACTAAATTACATATATAATAAGCTCACTCTCATTACATGGGAGAAAAGTGATGTACTATAATTATGTAACCTTGATCCTGTAGTGTATTTTCGGATTGGTCAGCCTTCTCTGTCCCTAATCAATACATGTGAGGGAACGACAGATAGAGCTATAATTATTTCTGTCCCCACTTCGCTCCTCGGTGTATCAAGCTAAATGTAACTTAAGGTACTTTTTCAAAAGGGCTATTTTGCCTTTATGCTAAAGTCGTGTTTCTGATTGACTGGTAAACTTGAATCAGGACTTTCCTGTTTTGCAAATGAGTCACTATCGAATCGCGTGACGTAGTTAGTTAAAAGCCTCACTTTTGAGGCTTTTAACTAACTATATTGAAATGTGTATACATATTTATATTAGTTTCAAAAACATTTTCCCCTTAGAAAATATATGTTTCCTCCTACGCTACTTTTAATATTCAGTTTAGTATACATAAGGAAGATTCGTTCGTCCCCCTTCCGGTAAACAAGTATGTATGCTGCTTTGATCGTTAGGATAAATGATGAACAATTAAATTAATGCCTACCTAGTCCTTTAAGCAACTTAAACAATTCTAGGTACATGTACAAAGATTTCAGGTAACAATTAATACAGAAATATAAATAACAAACGTAAATGACCAAAAAAAGTCAATGCAATGTTTTTTTTGCAGTGAGGCCATCGTCAGAGACCTTCAGTCAGATGACATCGATATTCGGATTTGAGGTTCCACTGTGCATTATGATTATGAGGGTCAATTTGAATTCGTAATTTTAAAATATACATTACACATTCTGAATCTGACACTCATTAGGTTTCCTATCTACACGTTTGGGAATTGTACTTATAACTTGTGGCGAAACAAGACAAAATAAAATTATTCAGCGTTGAACTTGTCTTCTACAGATTACAACTTTGGTTTCCTTTGTCATTTATTTCTCATATATTTGTCATTGTGTAAAATAGTGGGTTTTAAAAACATGGCTGTGAATTTTTTACATATTATTATGTATGGCAAAAAACAGTGAGACGTCTAAAAAACATCGATTTCACATTCGTTTTGACCTCCAAAGCCCGTCAAGGTTTGTCCAGAGTGTCCCGAATTATGCATGATTTATTCCGACTGAATTAAAACAAACTTGGACATCCGCTGACGTCAGAGTCGATGCATACAATTCAAACCCCTTAGAATTGAGTTATGATCGTGACCTTCCTTGCAAAGGATGTTTATCTATCAAACCTTCATGGGGTACTAAATACACCATTGAATTAATTACTGCGAAGTTGTGTAATGATACGCTAATCAATATGTAGCAGTTTTCTGTGTGAATGGAAAATTTCAATCAATACCGCAAGGTGATCTTTTCAGTTGGTTTATCTAAACTTTCGGTACAGTTATAACAGCAAGTTATTTAAACGTTCGCCTATTTTTCTATAAAAGCTACACGGTCGCGATTTGGAAACACAATTTATTAGATAGAATGTACCTACTTAGGCAATTTGAATACGAAGTTTTAAGTAACTTTTAGGGTATTCAAGCCTTATAAGAGCGGTTTTCTTTTACCATATTTTCGTTTTTTTTTTACTTGAAAGGATTCAGCAATTAAGAGCATTATTTTCTCGTGGACAGCCGCCTTGAATAAGCGGTGGGCAATAAGGAAAACGTAACTAGTTATTATGTACTACACGCACGCGTGACGAAGTACGCCTATGAACCTTGGCGCGTTTGCAGTCGCAACCATATCCATTCCTGCACCAGGTATACATGGAAACGACACCATCGCTTGTAGGGACACTTTCTAGAAGGGCGAACTTATTCATTATATTTCAATTAACATACTTTTCTGATCCGACCGTGTGATCGGTAACGTTTAGTAAAGACTTATTATTATTGTGAAATGTATATCTGGTCCAATAACTAATAGGCTTGAATTATGACGTCATCTAAGATTCCATTGGCTTTTAATGATTGCCTTTTAACCTTGTGAAAACTAGTTATAATACGGTTTTATTAAATATAGGGCTGCTAAATACTTTATGATGGCTCGTGAAGTTCAATTGAATGTCGTCCATACCATATCTTTATAGCGTGAACATGGACGTGAATGCAGATGATAGCAATAGCCTCATAAAACAGTCAACATGTACTTTGACGTGTAGCTACGACTAGCCTCGGTGTAAAAATTACCATGTGTTTGTCCTTAACATTCATGGCAGGAGTTTTAAACGTAAATTGGATTCTGACAAGGATTATTTCAGTTCGTTGTCATATTGTGTCCGACGCCCTTCCGTAAGTTTAGCTAAGGTCAAGGTTGAGCGTGTCATGTTATTCTAATCTGTTGGAAGTATTCCTTGTGGTCGTCAAACGTTGCCGGCAGACTGCAAAACAACCGGTACAAAGCGTGTAGACTGACAAAAACAAAGAATGTTGCTAGTGAATATAATTATAGACTCTCAAGTCTGTAGTGCGCACATGGGTCTTCATCCGAACAACATTTAGAGGCTAAAATATTTTAAATGTAAATTGTTGTATCTATTTTATTTAAATAGACGTGCGTATGGAAACTCGAAACTCAGTAGTTACGGAAGAAAACAAGCCGCTCTATTAGTCTTTAAGAATTGAGTTTACCAGACTCCAATTTTTAGGGTTTAGATGAGTGACGATTAGATCATACACTATTGAGATAATCGAATGGTCATAGAATAAAGTAATGTACCTCTCCTTTATCCACTAACACTTCTCTTCTATTAACTAGCAGAATAAAGATCGACAGTTAGATGCGGGTCCGGAAATAGATTTTGAATAACACTTAGTTGTCCTATCGAGAAATACCAAGTGATAACATCGATGAATAACGGTCCATTGAATAACAACAAAAATAGTGCGCTACCTCAAACATGAATAACGGTCCATTGAATAACAACAAAAATAGTGCACTACCTCAAACATACGCAGTTAATAGTTATCAACAGAGCAATGTTTATTATTTGATTAAATAGGTACATTATTACGCAGATAACACAATGTGATCTTGAATACGTATAATGACCGCGCTTAGAAAAACTCAAAATAATTTTCTAAGAACTACTTATAACATTTTATCATCAGTAGACAATAAAATTCTTCCGATATATTTATTTAGAATGCAGACGCCTTTACTAAGCTTAATTCTGTATCAATTGAAGAGCACACGCAGTTATTGGTATAAATTAATCTTAATTGGACCATTTGAGTTCCTGATTGACATAATATCAGTTTGTGTCATGTCAATTTATGACCAACTCGACATGTTTGATGTCCCCTTTTCTATTCATTCTGGAATGATTATCATCATGCTACAGTAATTATAAATTACTAGCTACTTCCGCGCGGTTGCACCCGCTCTGCTAGGCTCCTAATGATCGTAGCGTAATGTTTTGTAGCCTATAACCTTTCTCGATAAATGTACTATCCAACACAAAAAGAATTATTGAAATCGGACTGGTAGTTTCGGAGATTAGCGCGTTCAAACAAAGAAACAACAAAACAAACTCTTCTGCTTTATAATATTAAGTATAGTACTTTAAAAAGTTACAAAAACAAGGAATTAATAATATTTTAATTGACAGATGTTCTTAAAAGACTAGATTATGAGCTTGTTAAAAACTATATATTTGATAGTGATGTCAAAATATATCTCGGTAAAACCTATGAATGATGTTATTGACAACAGCCGAAAAATTTACAATATCTTTATCATAACATTATCAGTTTTCCACATAAGTTAACACAACTGGGGTTTCCCATAACCTTTTTGCCAAAACCATAACACAGTTGACTGGACTGGGACATAACAAAAAAAAAATAACAAATAAAATTAATCAGTCAAACATCTTTACACTTTTCTACAATCTAATTGCTGTTGTCTGTTATTTGGGTACGTGGCTATCATAAATAATGACAGTCTGTCCTGTTCATTATCTTTTAGGACCCGAATTTCGCAATGCCAGTAAAATTTAATAAAAGGAATAATTATGACTACTTATTTGACAATTCTTCCGTACTAAAAACTGTCAACTGTCAATTTTATTCTACACTTATGAATTAACTGATGATTGAAAAAGGCCTTTAGAGCTATCGACAATCCATCAATAGTTGATCGCAGTTAAATATATTATGGAACGTATGATATATTAACTCGTTGAGTACCGGTTTTGTAGACACAATTATAGAACAATAGGTTGCGGTCACTGGTGACCGCTTGGTGTTTGACAGTTTAAGTAACTAAATAACTTATTATTAATTTCTACCCAACTGTTTTTTTGTGTAATTAACTGTATTAGGTCCTATTATTACTTTATTTTGCTAGTTCAATTGTACTTTTTCCTGTTACAGTATTCATTATTTGGCTTCCTATAGGTTGATTTACGATCACCTGATGGTCGACCAATGTTAAACAATAGGAATTACAAACTTATCAGTCAGCCATTTATGCAGATTCTTATCAGATCCTGTTATCATACTTTTTTGTTTATTATGGATAACATTTATCAACCTGCATGCTAATGAGCTTGTTAAATACAGTATTAAAGGTTATATGACTATAAATTTAACTTAAAACATGAATATTCTACTGCAATAATTAATCTAGTTTCTTTATCTAAAAATTAAGTAATATGGGTTTTCTAAAATAACAAGTTTTAAGCAATGTCTAAACATTAAGCAATAATTCTAATATCAATTTCGTCTTATGTACAGGTTTTTAACAACTTTTAATGGTACAAGGACAATCACCAGTGTTTAAAAAATTACGTGAAATATTTGAATGAAGTTAATTGGTACGTGAAGTATTTGCATATATATGTTTAGATGAATGAAGTGCTCGTGACATCCTGATGTACATCATACAGTTTCACTTGATAATGTAGGTATTGAGTAGGTATTGGTATTGAGTATTATGTTGATTTAGAGTTGATATAAAATTGTACTGTAGAAGCAATAATCAAGAGAAAATAATCGTCAACGTAGTTAGAGACCACACAATACAGTCAGCCAATTGAAATTTTGCATACGTACGCTGCAATAAAAATATAAATATTCGTAGTCAGTGCGAACTCTCCTGAGAAGTGAGATTGCAATGCCATACATAGAAAACCTCTAGTATTACAATGCTTATTAGATTTATTAGCGCGGAACAATGAAAATGTAATATCTGTAGACACTTACGTATTGCGCTAGCTGTAATAGTAGCAGACAATCCAAGAAGACGAGTAGAAATCGACGTAAAATCCCTCCAGCGCCAGCCATTTTTGCCCACTTAATTTCACAATTTGATTTAGTAGACACAACTGTTCGTCATATCATAATTTTACAAACAAAGATACGCCTAGGAATAATGATCACACGAATTGTTTTACGGCGTAAATTACTACCACGACACTCGGCGTTTATTTAATGAATGACTGACAGACTCCGTTCAATCGACAAAAAATATAAAACAAAATGGCCGACACCGATATCATGACGTTTAAAAATGTTACCAATCTATTTACAATTTCTGGTGGTTAAAAAAAATACTTTCAATAAAGTACCTATTAAAGTACATACATTATTTTAAGAAAGTATTACAAAAATCATAATTTTCTTGAATGTAGTATTAGATTGTTAATAAATAAAATGTAAAATATTTAAAACACAGTTACGTTCCAGAATTACTTTTCAGCTAAATAATGACAATTGCTGACATTGACACTATTCACACTATTTGACATCGACACTTCGACAGTTGAGAACAACGTCTGAATGTCTGGTTTATTTGCATTGTTTTGTGTACAATATTGATAAAAAATAATTTTAATCAGCGTCATTTTACTGTACTACACTGCAGTCAGTTTATACAAGTGAAATGACAACCCTACTTTTTAAACTATACGTCTTTGTGCAAGTTTAATTTAACAAAATGTTTACTATAAAATATAAGGCTACTCGTGAATGTAGATGAAAAGTATTTCAAATAATGGAAAGAAATAAAAGGCAAAGAGGAGTGTATGTAACTGCTAAACAAAAGAAGAAGTTAATAGAATTAATGACAAAACATCCTGAGTTGATATCATGCAGAGTTACACAGGATTTCAACTATAGTGACTCCCAACAACTGTGGCATAGTATCGCTAATGAATGCAACTCAATACCCGGCGCGAGGAAGTCTTGGAGGCAGTGGAGAAAAGTATTGTTTTTTATTATATAACTTATTAAGTTTAAAACATCATAATATTGTAAAATATATTATATATATTAATTTAATTTAAAATAGTAAGTAGGTAATAAAACATATTATTTACATTACAGACTTGGCAAGATTTGCGATCAAAAACAAAGAAACGGCAAGCTGACACAAATGGTGAACTACCAAATTCAGTAGTCATGCTAACACCAGCAGAACAGGAAGTTTTGGGTCTAAAGAATGTATCCTCTACAAGTCAGACTCCTGAATTTGTACCTCTCGAGGAACATAACAACCAGGATAACTTTGACAATGTTAATGAGTCAACTGCTTCATACAGTGACGCTGACTCAGTTCCCGAAGAAAAAGTATTCACTGAACCTCCTGAAGTAAAAACAAAACATAAAAATAACACAAAACAAAATACCAAACACACAAACGATTGTGCTTTCAATTGTGATATGTTAGCAGTACAGGAACAACGAAAAATACAAATCAAAGAGGACTATTTAAACTTTAAGAAGGATTATTTAAGGCAGAAATTAGTATTGATGAAGGAACAGACAGAAGCATTGAAAAGTATTGCTAAAGAGCTTTGTATGAATAAATGAATGTGGTGGAGCATGGCAAGAGTGACAAGATAGATTATCTATGAACTAAACTGCTGGCAGTATGGAAATTGGCTTTCCTATTAATTTCATCATGAGTATGGCTACTCATGCAAAAATGAATCAAGTGATTCAAAGATGAATATGTAACTAAACATAGAAAACAACTGGGGATAAAAAATACCAATGTAATCATTTTAATTTTACACTTTTAACTAGTCAACCAATAAGGTTTTTGTGTGTGAATCTCAAATATGACTGTTTTTTTTTTTGTATAGGTACTTACCCTATTTCAAAATTGATTTATTTTTATTTGTATAAAAGAGAATATTTTAAATATTATTACAATGGAGTTTGTAAATGAGAAATAACTTTTTTTTAAACAATACTCCTGTGTGATTTCTTGAGCAAAATAACATGAGTAATGAAAATTTATTGCTCAGTCTTTTAGTTTAGGCTACATTATTAAACTGTCAAATACCAAGCGGTCACCGGTGACCGCAACCTATTGTTCTATAATTGTGTCTACAAAACCGGTACTCGACGAGTTAACTTGCCATAATAATATTAAAAACATGAAATAAGAATGAGTTTATTTTTTTGTATGTTACTTCATTATAGAAGTTAGATTACCCTTATTTCTCTTCTATCTTCTTTCAATTACAATAATTTGTAACTTTCAATATCTATAAAAAGTCTCTGACAAGGGGCTTACTCTTGAATAAAATTCCGATCGATCGACATTGGTATTGTGAAATTTCGTACTCTTGAGTTGCAACACTAGCGCCCATTGCATCCGTATTGCGTGGATATTTAATGAACTAAATGGTATTGAGTTTGGCTTTAGATTCCGTACTGTGAATGCTATTTTAACAGCTACGATGGGGTTGTATAGTTTTGACATTGAATAATCATTGAGATTTCATTGGATTAAAATTGCATTGACATTAAGATTGACTTCGAGAGTAAGCATCCATAACTAGGAGTAGTGGACATAGCCCTCTTCAGTAACAGCGCTAGGCCCGTTTTCTGGCATTGAGTCTGTATTAAACTACTGTTTAGCACTATCATATCCAGTAGTTAAATGTATTTGAACGTGAATGAAGCCTACTAATAAACTTGTGAAGGCCCTACTCACTCAACCTCAACCTACTTTACTAACAGCTGATCGTAATAAAAATCGCGAATCCAATAAGATTTTTTTTAACATTTTCATTGCTGGCAACTGGACACGTTTCTGCAGTACAGATCATCACATCACCAATATGGAATTATAAGCATAAAAATATACCTATCTCTTTTTATCTTGCAAACTTTTAAATGATGCTATTTCGCTTAGCAGATAGATTTGACAGTCATTGGAACTTAAAACGTCAAACCGATTGATTTATTTACAATGTCATGTCATGAAAAGAAACATTAAATATTATAATTTTAAATCGTATTTAAATAAGTATTTCACTGATATTCCGATTTATACTATTAGTCATAGTGGTCAACTTCATCCAACATGTATCTACGAATAAGCAGAAATTTTTGTTTTGTGTTGTTCTTCGCATTTGGTGAGTATTCTTAAATAATTTATAGTAAGTTCAAAATATGTTTTTGCTTTACCACAGGCTGAAATTTATCTCATATTAATATTTCATTACAAATCGACTCACTTTTGGCATTCTTCCACCTCTTATTGTATATTTCTTATAATTTCGAGGTCTAGAAAAATCTAAAAAAGTACATAGAAATTCAAGTTACACCAAGGGTAACAATTCATTTTTAAGTTTGTAAGTACCTATGTAATAATTGCACTTTAGATTGGTTTGAGACCATTAACAGGTTTCAGCTAGTTCTATGCCAGGCGTTAATTAAAAATCAGTATCAGAATTAAAAGCTCAATGAACTTGAAAATGTATAATCAAATTACTATTGTATGCAAGCATCATACGTTTTTAATAATTAATTACTGTGTAAAATGCTAATTGACTGTTTTCTGCTGTCAATATTTACATATTTTCGATGAACAGTATTGATAATTTTATTCATATTATTTGTTTTCAGCTTTTGTGACAGTGACAACTCAATTTGATATCCAGGAAGAAACAGAAACAGAGATAAAGGATGATATTGATGTGAATGATGTCCCTAATGTAGACGACTCAGAGTCACTGCTCTCCAATGTTGTGTCAGACGTCAACAAAACACTCACTAACTTATACAACACTGTCACTCTGGCTAATGTTACCGCAGAAAACACAAATAACACAGTTAATGAAACTCGGAAACTCATAAAATGTAAGGAAATAGTCTATGACACCAGTGAGGAAGTGGAACCAACAGTGGAAATTGTTAATGCTTCACAATTAATTAAACTGTTACATGTGAATCCGGAAATAACAAGTCGGGATATGGAAGCTGACTGTCTGCTTGTATTCTTCTATGCAAGAGCTTGCCCCTTTAGTGCTAAAGCAGCACCACATTTCAATGCCCTTGCAAGAGCATTCCCTGATGTGAAGATGGTAGCCCTGGATGCCTTAAAATATGGCGGCACAAATACTGTTTATGGAATAGTAGGGGTGCCTACACTTAAAGTGTTTCACAATGGCAGACCCTATGGAAAATTCAATGGAACAGAATATAATATACAGTCATTCAGTAAATTTCTTAATGCTGTGACTGGAAAGCATGCACAAAGTCTAGTAGTTATGTCTAAGGACTTCCAAGGTCCAGTATCCAGTGTGGTGGAAATCGAAACTGATTATTTGCTAGTCCTATCATGGTTGTTTATTATTGTTTGTTCTGTTTATTACTTCATGCAGTCCAAGTGCTGGACTATGATTGTGGAAATGGTCCAAAATAACTGGAGAGAATCAGAGGCTCAACACGAACATAATGATTAGTGTATTAGATTATTTTAATTTATAGGTGAGAAATGATTAAATGCTGATGTTTATACAACTTATTGACTTTCATTGATGTGTAAAGTCAGTTTTATGATCTTGCTTTTAGTGAGACCATCCTTTAATAAAATTGCATAATTATTTATTTATTTGAACATAGTCAAACTGACTGCAAATTCTGTAAGCGCGAATGTCTATCATCACGCGGCACCAGGTTCGATTCCTGGCATAGGGCATAGTATATTCTTGTTATTTTATTAATAAAGACTAGTTTCACAGTATGGTCTTATGTTATTGTTTTGCACTACCTTTTTTTTAATTCAGAAAGGTGTATACTCTGTGGGATTTACATTTCTAAACGGAATCTTTCTGTAAAATTATTGACATTGGGATACTATCGATATTCAACGTATAGCTCCACTGATATATCAATATTTTAAATAACAAATACAAGAAGAATGAAAATATAATTCACTCGATAAGATATTCTGACACATCTTCTTATATTGATGATAAAATGTTTAAAAATGTATATATCTATATTTTTTTTTATATAATTTGTGGATCTGCAATCAGTCGCCAGACTATAATCAGATGTGGTGAAGTGGGATGTGGCTTTTGAGTACAACAGGCCAACGCCTGTTGTCACTTATATTATAAGGTGTCGTTTTAACCTTTTCACAATTTTAGCATTGTCAAGTAATTCCATGACCAGTGTATTGGGGTGGTGGGCGAGACGCTCACGATGTTGTTTTTTATAGCGGTCTATTTCTGACGCTACAGTTGGTATGTTCAGGTACTCGTGAATTTCATCATTTTTCGTAAACCACGGAGCATTTGCAATGTTTTTCAAGATAATGTTTTGGACCCTTTGTATGCATGTTATATTAGATTTGCTGGCTACTCCCCACAACTGAATACCATATGTCCATATAGGTTTCAGTACGGAGTTATAGATTAAAATTTTGTTGTCAATGCTGAGTGCAGAATTTCTACACATCATCCAATTTAAACTTCTAAATTTGTGGTTGATTTGGTCTCTTTTTGCCTTTATGTGACTTTTCCATGTTAATCGTCTATCAAGGTGGAAACCCAGGTATTTAACACATTCCGTTTGAGGTAATATGTTATTCTTCAGGCACACCGGGGGACAGTCTCCTTTTCGCAGTGTGAAGGTTATGTGGGTCGATTTCTGGGCACTAGCTTCGATACGCCATTTGCTAAGCCAATCCGAGGTGTAATTGAGAAGTCTTTGAAGTTTTTCACTCGCTATTGTGGCATGACTGTCCACTGCTAAAAAGGCTATGTCATCAGCATAGGTAGCAACAGTGACATCATCTGTAGTTGGTAGGTCTGACGTAAACAGGCTGTATAATACCGGACCTAGTACCGAGCCCTGAGGCACCCCAGCTTCAATCGGGAACAATGATGATCGTGCCTCTCCTACTTTAACTCTAAATAATCTATCCGTGAGATAGGACTCCAGAATATGAAAAACAGAATGTGGCAGCTTATCCTTGATTTTAAAGAGCAGTCCCTTGTGCCAAACGCGATCAAAGGCTTGTTGAACGTCTAAGAATGCAGCAGAGCAATACTGTTTATTTTCGAAGCATTGTCTGATTGTGTGGTACACTCGATGTACCTGTTCTATGGCGGAATGTGTCTTACGGAACCCAAACTGGTAGCAAGGTATAGTAGCATGTTCATCCATTATATCGTTGAGTCGTTTCACGAATATCCTTTCCCATAGTTTAGAAATGACTGGAGTAAGACTTATTTGTCGATAAGACGAGCATTCGTGTGGTGGTTTACCCTCCTTAAGTAAAAATGTATATTTTTAACTTAGAAACTGTTACCGAATATTAAGACCTGACTGAGTTTGTTGTCTATCTCGATCATAATCATGGCTTCGATATCGATATCTTACATTCAAGTTTTAATCCACAACACTTGATATGTCAATTGTCAATCAACGTTAAACGTCATGACGTGTTCGTTCGTAAATTGTATGTTAACCGATATTTATCATTTATTTACGATTTCCATTATTATGAAGACTCGCTTAACATTTACGTAATAATAGTAGTAGTAAGTTGATAATATGACCGTGTCATCATTTATAAGTTCAACTAGAGGCAAGGTCATATTAGCAACGGTGGCTGCGCTTCACATGACAATATACTTTGCCAAACCTTCGCTTTTCAAGGGCGAAAGTTTGACAAAAACTGAAGCAGCTCCGCCTAGATACTTGCCAGAGAAGTGAACAAACGGCCTTGGATCGTTAGCGAGGCGCGAATACGAACAAGGAAGCCGGTAACAACTGGAAAATAACCTATAGAGTATTGATGATTTATAAAAGAGTAGTTTTGTCAGCACCGTCTTTAGTCCGCGGTGTCGTTACTGCAAGGAAGATGAGCTCCGAAAGATTCCAAGTGTTTGTGACGCGCAATGATATGCCACAGGGTGGCATAGACCTGCTGAAGAAGGAGTAAGTAGATTCATTATTGTAATGTATTTATGTTATGTACAGTTACGGTCAACCATGTTATACACTTTTGTTAATACCGGAAATTGTAATGTGATCAAATAACAAATTAGAGTTAACTTCTTGTTTTTCAATTCTTATGATTAGTTACTTTTGTTCTTGAGTATTCATATTTTTTTGTGCTCTAAATTAAGTACGTACTACTTTCTAGAGTTCTATGATATTTCAGATTGCTCTTTAATTGTCAGCTACAATACAAAAATATTGTTAAATTACTATTTCAAGTCTATAATTACTTACTATCTAATACTAAATTCTATTTTGTAACCCAATCAATTCAGCAATACAGATTTATACTTTACTGTTAGTATTTTTGTATGTATTAATTGTTATACTGTTAGCATCTTGAGCTTTTAGTATAAATAATTTCATTTAAACTAATTTGTGCATTATTAAAATTACAGATGTGATGTAAAAATGTCATCGCACCCATCAACAATGCCAAGAGAAGAACTGTTAAAGGCCATTGCTGGTGTTAGCGGTATCTTCTGTTCTTTAACAGATAGGATAGATAGAGAAGTTCTAGATGCTGCTGGACCAGATCTAAAGGTCATTGGAACCATCTCTGTGGGCCATGACCACATAGATTTGGCGGAGTGCAAGAAGAGAGGTGTCCGTATTGGATACACTCCGGATGTACTTACTGATGCTACCGCTGAATTAACTGTAAGTATATAAAGTTAATATTTATTTTTCAATTCAGACAGGTAGAGAAGGTCCATATTAAAATATAATCAGTATAAATTAGTCTAATTATTGTCCAATTAGAAATTATGTGTATTTGATTAGTCTAACATAATTATCATGAAATGATTTCAAGCAGGAACATTGTCCTTGCTCAGAAACCTAGCTTACAATCCTGTGGTTAATGAGACAGCGGCAGATAAAAATTAATAGAAAATAGTTAAGACAAATAAATACTGTGGTATAAGTAGTACCCGTAAACCACAAGTTGTTAAATTAGTAATATTATATGTTGGTATTTTTTAAAAGGCTTCTCCTGAATTAATGCTTTGACTGCCAATAGAGAACTTTTGAAAGCAAATCCTCCGCTAACGTCAGTCATTGGTGACACCCATGGCGTTTAATGCATTAATCAGTAGTATTAATATAAATTGTCTCTAAAATTTTCAGATGGCGCTCCTTCTATCTACATCACGCCGTCTCCCCGAGGCGCAGCATGAAGCGCGTAGTGGTGGTTGGAAGTCATGGGCTCCGACGTGGATGACCGGCCCTGGCCTAGCAGGCTCTACAGTAGGTATCGCGGGCTTCGGCCGCATAGGACAAGCGGTCGCACGACGCGTCAAAGCATTTAACACGAAGCAGATCCTCTATTTCAATCGCTCTGAACGCCCTGAGGCCCAAGAAACCGGCGCCATTAAAGTCACCTTTGACGAACTTCTAACCCAAAGCGACTTCATCATCTGCTGCGCTGCTCTAGTACCTGAAACTAAAGAAATGTTCAATAAAGCAGCTTTTGAGAAGATGAAGAAGACAGCTGTATTAGTGAATACAAGTAGAGGGGGTACTGTTGATCAGGATGCTTTGATTGAAGCGCTGCAAAATAACACCATAAGAGCGGCAGGACTTGATGTGACTACTCCAGAACCATTGCCTTTAGATAATCCACTTCTAAAGCTTCCTAACTGCGTCGTGCTACCTCATATTGGCAGTGCAGCTATTGAGACAAGAAATACAATGAGTGAACTCACTGCTAATAATATTTTAAAGGCTCTGAAAGGTGAACCAATGCCTGCAGAGTTGTAAGAAAAATAGCAAATTTATTCTTATATATTTATGTATGCGTATATTATATTATTAAGTTTAAATAAATATTACATTTTATTGTTATTTTGAGATGTTTGAGTTTTAAAGTTACAAATTGGACATCATAGATGGCGCTGAAGTCAACTTGAATATTTCTGTCTAAAAGGTATTTCATGGTAATAAATCCAATAATTTTTTTGTTAAATGGAAATGTTGGTTAATCTTCTGACAAGATTTCATGTTCATTTCGAATTTGAAGCTGTGAAAGTGAAGCCTTGTATGTTCATATTGTTCAATCAACCACTCTTCTGCTTATCTGAAACCGAGACTTCATTCAGACATCCATAATGTTTTTATTCTTTCTACATTTGTATAAATATAGAATTTGTTTGTGGCATGACAAGATAGACCCAGTTTGCCAACACTGGACAAGCATTAAACTATGCTAGTGGGGGATAGGATATATAGTAGGAATTACTCACACTGAAAACAAAACAGGGCGGAGTGAAATTTTGGTAGACTAGTATTTGTACAGTCTTTCTAAGTCAGTAGGCTCAGGTTAGTAGTCGGTGCGCCGCCGTGCCCGCGACCGGTCGCACCAGCCGAGCACGTGTTTCTCAATTCTCGATTGTTTTTTATCGAAACATATTGATACGTGTTGTGTATGCGTTTGGATGCAGTGGACACGGTGAGTTGCTGAAGAAATTTTATCTTATTTTATTTCAGTTAATCGCTTGTTTATTCTTGTAGGATTTTTTGGAATTATTTAAAAATGTCAACTGCTGTTTTTGCGTGAAACGTTTGACGATGCGGGGACATCTTATCAGTATTTTTATTGCATCTAGAATTTCGTGGTTGACTGCTGTTTGTGTACCTAAGATTTTATATTTACAATTTTATTTGTAAATACTTCTAATTCAATTAGCTCTTATTGCTATCAACATTTATATTTGTAAATAGCAGCCTTAGCCGGGTGCATAACGGGTTACCAGGGCTCCGGCTCGACGTGCAGGAGAAGGAACGGGGTGGTTTTTAGCCAGTAAGAGTCTGAAACTCCCTCTCGCCTCACCCAGGCGGGAGCAGTCATTCGATGATTTTACCCCCTTAAAAAAAGCCGAGTGCAGCCCGGGTGCTATTTCTCGATGTTCCCGCCGAATTTATCTATCGTACCTAGTACCTACAAACCTTGTCCTAACAACAAAGAACATGATAAAAAATAATTAACCAATGTGGTCGAGTAATCTGGGACTTAAGACTTTACATAATTTTCATAATTTTGGTTAGTGAAGTACTGTGAACCGAAGTTTTTGGAGTGGTATGTTTTGTATTAGGGGTGTCTGTTCCACGGCTTATAGCTTAATAATATTTTGTTAACGCCTTATCCAAGTATTAGTATAGAAGGTCGGGTCGGTCAAGGTTTTTGCTAATCCTAATAATACATCTTGCGAATTATCCACCTACACTAAAACATGTAGTAACTTACACCTAGTTGGCACCTTTTTTTAACAAGTACCTATGTACCTACAGACTACATTGCGCAACAGCAACTGCTAGAGCAAGTAAAAACGCGGGTTACTCACGTGAATATACTGAGAAAAGCTCTACTAGTTTCGAACCACAGAGGGTTCTTCCTCATGAGCAGCGTGCGCGGTCGCGGCGACATCGCGCAGCTCACATACTACTTACGTTTTTACTTAATTTAGTATGTCTCACGATAGTTATTATAAAAACTGCTAGAGCAAGAAATTTCGGGTTCGATTCCTGGGTCGGGCAAAGTAATATGGGGCATGACAGTAGGAAGTAGAGTCTAGAATAGGGTAGTTGCAGGGTATGAAAATTAAAAATGTAATCAGTCCGTAGATAATGAAAAAATATTAGAGAACTATTTTTTATTTTCTCGTATAAAATTACAATATTTAGATAAAATGAAGCTAAGTTTAGGAATGGGAGGTCGTTACGTAACAATGTGCTATAAAATGCAGGACGGTGTGACGTCACACGATATTTCATATTAATATATCGTCGAACTACATAGGTACGTATTTAATTTTGTGAGAAAAGAAAAAATACGTATCTAGTGTTTTAAATTAATCTACCAGACGGACATTAAAATAAAACTTAGGAAACTACCCTACTGTGTGCAGGGTGCACGGCAATATTGGCAATGGCAATAGGATCGCCCCTTATCTAAGTATCTACATGGGATTTGCAACGTGCGTGACTCACGAAATTTGAACCTACCTTTGCCTAACCCTTCGTAAAATGCTTGAAAAATTCTATAAAGTTCGACGCCCGTCAAAATTGGTTACCATTAACATGATGCCATGTTACAATGATGCCTAGGTACCCCATAAGAATTATTTTTTAACACAGCTATATTTTGTGGATAAAAAAATTGACATAAAGATCATAAATCCGTTGATACAAACAGGATTCTAATTAGTGTGTTTAACTAACTAATTATCGACTTTCGTGTGTTCTTAAACGTGATTCACTTTCCGAGACTGCAAGCAGTCGTCGCGGGAATGCAAACGGAATTCATTAAAAGTGTGATCAGACTTTCATCTTGTTAGAGAGGAATTTAAACGTAATAATAATAAAGTAAAGTAACGTACAAAAATCATACAGCGCTAGAGCTCGGAAGCACTGAATAGTTGATAAAAAAACTGCTGCGATGACTTTCTACCGAGCAATTAGAAGATTCGCACACGAAAGTGCAGTGGAAGTATTTAGCTACGACAGTATGCGCCAGCGTCGGGAAATGCACGATTTATGCCCGCGTCAACGCGTACCTACTCTCTTAAATTTTTGATGTCTTACTGTTAAAATTGTTTTAAGATGTTGTTGCTCGTGTTGTAACTCATCGCTGTTCAAGATACGAATTATACCTGAATGACTTCAGTTAGTGGCTTAGTATCTACTGTAGGTCATTAGGCACCTACCTATAGACTGCTATAGACCGATCTATATACAAAATAGAAGCAGGTTACAATATAAAACATATATACAACCTCTTTTTAAATAGGTAGGTAGGTAGTAAACAGCCATTTTGTTTTCAAAAATATATTTTTTTGTTTTATATATTTGAATTAGATATTAAATGTCCCTAATTAGGTATAATATTTATTAAATGATATTTAATGTTTACAAACAATTTCTTACGAGTATTATTAAAAACTGGCATACAGTCATCAAAATCTACCATATCAGTGAAATCTACAAAACACCATAAGAGCAAAAAAAAAAATAAAAACTTTTTTTCATTTGGCTTAATGGTTTTCACTGCAGTTTTCCAATGTAAAATGGCAATTACGTTTAATAATAAAAAAGTTTCTATAACTAAGAAGGTTAAATCCCACAGATTTTATATGAAAATAATGGAATTGTTTGTGTCATAAAGATCGTGCGAATTATTTTCTATGGATGAAAATGGAAATATTATTATTAACTTGTCTTCTTGTTATGGGTTCAAGTCGAATGTTGTTTGATTGTAGATGGAAGTGGTATCAATGTTGATGTATTGGCGTACAAACGAATTAGTCAATATAACTAGGTAGACTGACTGACTAGTGATATTTATACCGATGTTTAAATAATAATCAGCCGTTTGGTATAAACTAATGGCTAGCACCTGTACGATATCAATATTTGCAGTTTCTCATTTGCCTGAAATATGTAATTATAAATTCAAATTTCGTGGGCATGTATTAATTTGAATGCGTGGTTTGTTAATCGTAATGTTAGGCTTCGCTGCAAATTCATATTTTGATTCAACTGTTTGTGAAAGACTAATTAGATGATCTATTGAATCTGACCTTACTTGCTTATTGGGGAGACCCAAAACTTCGCGCACTGTAGTCACAATTATTACTTACTAGCTACTTCCACGTGGTTTTACTCGCTCTGCTCGGCGCCTATTGAATAAGTCAAAGATAATTACAATTCTTAAAGTGTCAAACGAGAATTTTTGATCGTAGCGTGATATTTTATAGCCTATAGCCTTCCTCAATAAATGGACTATCTAACACAGAAAGAATTTTTCTAATCGGATCAGTAGTTTTGGAGATTAGCGCGATCAAACAAACAAACAAAAAAACAAACTCTTCCGCTTTATATAATAGTATAAGATTTCTTAATATTATGGGAGTTAATATTAATAAAGGCAAAACTGTATTAGCATTGAATCTATATAATATGAAATTATTGATTATATTGTCCTTAGACGATGTTGAACAGTAAAACTATATAACCAATGTTTAGTTGCTCTGAAAAGAGACAATTTTATTTTATTACTTATTTACAAAATCTAATTTTAAAACTTTTACAAAACATTCTTTACTAATAACTATACACTAATTTTACCTGAAAAGAGAAACAACATTTAAAGCTATTGTTTCACCATTTCTTATTAATAATTATAATTACATTAAAAATCAATCTTACTTGTACATAACAATTAACCATTTTACTTTTCATATTTTTCGCTGTCATTCAATATGACAGCTTACTCCATAGATTAGCTATTTCACAAACCAAAAAGTTTACAAACTAAATGAAGTGTCACGCACTTTGTTTACATCTCCCCCCCTTCTAATTTACAAAAGTCTATTGTGTCACTCTATTACTGGAATAAGTTTTGTTATATGAAAGAGATTCGACTCTGGTTTTTTGTGACCTGTGCTAACTTTATAGATTGAATTGGATATTTTGTCTTCTATTTGATAAGGTCCTATTTTCAATTCGTCTAGTTTTTTTCGGTTTAACCGGTTTCCGTTTTCCACATACACAAAATCTCCAACTTTTAATTCATAATGTTTTCTGTTTTTATCAAATCTTTGTTTATTATAATTGTGGGATTTCATACTATTTTCTAACGCAATTTTTCGGTCTCGCAATAGATGATTATGTGTTATATTTTGCTTCAGTTCGTCTGGTAGAATGTCAACATTTTTTCCCTCCAATAAATATTTTGGAGAGAACCCTGTCACACTATGTTCAGTTTCGTTATATTTTTCAGTGCATTCGTGAGCAATAGTTGTCCAAGCAATTTTGTCCTTTTTTTCATTGATCTTGCAACGAATTTTGTTAACCAACGTTTGGTTTAACCTTTCGTTCAATCCATTTGAAAATGGTGCATTTACTGCTGTGAAAACTATAGGTATATCTTCTTTTTCTAAAAAAAATTTGAAATCCTTTGAATTTAGACCGGGATATTGGTCTGTTAGAATTAAGTTTATTTTATAATCTTGTGTTACTTTTTTGACAAGTTTTATAAAATCACTCGCAGTCTGGGTTTTGGATGTCAAAATAAAGGCGTAGCGGGTAAAGTGAT